GAAATCGGCCTATAGTTTGATACCATCTTACACGTCACCTGAATTTAGGATTTGGAAAACTTTAGCCATTTTACAACCGTCTGGAATAGAAACAGATAGCAATGATGCCTGAAAAATAATGAAAAGATATTTGGCAGACCATTCAGCGTCTCTTCAAAAATGAGTTTGTGACTTTGTCAGGTCCTTCTGACTTGGAATAGTCAATGTTAAGGAGTATCGAAAAAATTCCTTCATAAGACAAGGGTACATCATCGATCGCTGGAATATCAGAGTATTCATTGAACACTCGTGACAGAACATCATTGCTGGAGAAAACTGTGGAAAAAGAATGATTAAACGTGTTGGCTATGTCAACTTTTTCAATATTGGCTCACCATCATGAACAAAATTTGAAATGTCATTTCTCATACGTTAAATGATGCCGCCAAAATTTCTTGGGAGCAGTCAGCAGAAAACTAGACATTGTGATGTTGTATAATTTGTTTTTAGCACTTTTTATGGCAGTTTTTAGGTCTGTGCTCTGAATTCTAATAGTTTCACCTATGCGTTCACTAGGAGTTTTGCGGATGTTTGCTGTATATCTCGAGATTTTTCGCCTTTTGATGGACTACATGTTTCGTAATCCACTGGTTTTTGTTATGCGACATTTTAATTTTGAGTGGAATGTACTGGTCAATGCATTAGTTTAGTATTTCCTTTAAATTTCATCCATATATTGTTAACATCATGTGCAGGGTCAAGGCTCAATTGCCTCAAACAGTGATAACAAGATTCCAGTTTGTCTAAAAGGCCCATCTCCATGATGAAAATCTTTGTATGTTGTCACATCGCTATGCGCACTAGGTACCAAACGATAAGGGCAGTAAAACCATCAAGTGATGCCTGGGAATACCCAGTACCGGTACAGAATATCGCTTATACAGATCAAGAATAGATTGGCATTCACCCTGCACTCGTGTGTACCATTTCACTATCCGAGTTCAATCGTGCAAAGAGGTCATATCAATCAAAGTGGAACAAAGAGTGACGTCTTAGTTTACCGGTCTTAACCCCTTCACTTCCGCTATTACGCAGCCTTTTCCCGCGTGGTATTCCGCGCCCCGTTTTCACTGTACCCGTGCCTTCTGTGGCTCCGAGGAAAAAGTTTAATAACTTCCGCAAAAAAAGACACAGGAGGATAACTTTTGTTTTATTTCAATCCTTAATCACAGGCAAACGGTATTCACTTAAAAAGACTTTCGAGTGTGAAATAGCTTAAAGCACACGGGCATGTGAAGGGCGACTTCACATTTTTCGCATTCCCAGCGGCTCTCGCTTCTTTCGCCCTGAACCTTGCAGATGTGGCACCGCCTAGATGGGTTTGGTTTCGTAGCATTGGCTGTGATCTGGCGAGGAAAATGCGCCCATTCGTATCCCTCTAGGCGCATCGGCGAGGCACTCACTGATGGCTTTCCCCGTCGCTTGTAACCGGGCAACACCGTCTCCTCCACGATCTGCTCGGCAAGGTCGACTTTCCAGTCCGTGTAGCCAGACTTCTTGCCTGTGGTCTTTCCAAAAAGTATATAGCTGTTGTAGACAGCTATATCCATGACGTAGAAGCAGGGCCGTACCCAAAAAAAAATTTCGGGGGGGGGGGGGGGTTTCGTGGACAACGGTGGCCATTTTGAAAGTGTCTATTGTCTTATTTTCGCCTACGAATCATGTTCATCGGAGGCATATAATGGAGAGTTGCAGCAAACCGGAGAACCGGTCCCGGTTTGGTATCCGGTAGCCGACCGGCACCACTGCGCGTGCGCAGAGGTGGAGATTAAAATCGGCTGGCTGCAAGTGCACCGACCAGGGCTGTACCCAGAAAAAAATTTCGGGGGGGGGGGTCAGAACCCCCTAACCCCCCCCCCCCCCCCCCTGGTTACGGCCCTGCGTAGAAGAAGATCTTTTTGTACCCCCTGGCATATCTCCGCATAATGGGAAACGAAGCCAGCTGCTGATCCTCACGGTCGACGCCTCCCATACCTCTGTTGTAATCAAGCACAACCTGGGGTTTGAGGATTGGCTGGTTGTGTTTTCTCTGTTTTCCTGTGTCTGTCAGGTTTGTTGTGTCATGGGAGGTCGAAAGCAAGGTTACGGGCTTCTTGTCCTGCCATGTCACAGCCATCAGTCCACGGGAAAAGAGGCTGCGACAGTCACCCTTTTGAAGGTTGATTTTTTTCAGATCCTGCGGCATGTTCTTTCGATGCACCCGAACTGTCTTGACAGCGTTAGACCCCGCTTCCTTGATGTGAAGAAAGAGTAACCGGGACGAGTACAAGTTGTCTGTATGGATGGTGTAGTGTCTAGTTTCAGCTTGTGTTTGAACTCCTCAACTCCAAGCAGCCGAAGGAACATTGACTATCGAGAGGCATGCTTGGACAGGCCTCCCGCGGTGTATGCGGAGCATCGCAATGTAACCTCCAACAATCCTATGTAATCTCAGTATTAAACGGTGTTAAACCACTACAGATGGTGTGACCATTTCCAAGACGGTGTCCCACAAGGTCGATTACAACAGCCTCGCTGCATAACATTCCAGCTGTTGCCGGGGTCCTCTCATTTTTGCCTGTTGAAATAGAAAAGTTCAGGCAGTATCCGCTTGACGACTCGCACAGCTTGTAATATTTGATTCCAAAGTGTGCGCAATTCGACGGATTGAATTGAATGTAGGACAGACGACCACGAAACTTCATGAGGCTCTCGTCTACCGCCAGTCCCTCTCCTAGAGAATACGACTCGCCAAACACCTTCAAAACATAGTCGAGGACTGAACGCAGCTTTTGAAGTTTGTCGTCATCAACTGGCAGGCTGTTGTCGCACAGGTGAAGGTATCGTGTGAGCGCCCAAAACCACTGACTGGGCATCATGGACGCGAAGAAGGGCGTGCTAATGACGCTTCTCTGAAACCAGTAGGCTTGAATCCTCCTTTTTTTCACTTGGCTCATGAGAATACAAAGGGCAAAGTACGCCTTCATCTCACCTGGAGTCGTGGGAAACCACAAAGGGTCCGGAAAGGAGGCCTGCTTCTCAAGTGCGTACGCATTCGTGTGACGTGCAAGCATCTGCCAAAAGTCCTTGCCTATCAAAGCATTGAACATTGAGAGGGCTGTAGGACTGTCCCCTACAGCTATCTGAATGGTTCTCTTTACACCTGCTGTTCCGGCGAAAGGGATCTTCGCGACTTTGTCGGCACTGTCGTCGTCCTCCCATTGCCAGACGTCGAGCCTTCGAGCTTTCGATCGTGGTGGCGCGACGGGCACCGAAGAATCAAGTGGTTCTTCTGAGTCCGAAGCCTCAGCATTGTTGTCACTGTCCGAATCACTGCTTTCGATGTCCATGGTAATTTCCGGGTCGTCGCAGTCGTCATCCTCATCACTTTCAAACACCAGATCAAGAATTTCCTCGCTGGTGAGACACCTCCTCTTCCGCGACGCAATGTTTTCATACAAAGAAAAAGAACTGCAAACTTCTTCCTTTTCACTTCTAAATATCATAAAATAATCACGTATGTGGTACCATCTGCTGTCAAAAGTACTAATCAAAACACCTACCGCCTGTAAAGTGTTGCCATTTATCAATATATTTTGGAAACAAATTATTTTGCGGAGGACGGCGATTCGCCGTCTTATTGCACTTTGGCCCTTTCTCCCGCGGACGGTGGATCGCCATCTTCGGAAGCGAATGGGTTAAGCATCCCAATCGATGCTTGGAACATTAAAATACTTGGAGATTATAACATTACGGGTGCTGACACGCATTTTAACTAAAAACTCTTTCAACTTTTCTAAAATGTCGAAACTGAAGTTAGGTGGTCGATAGATGGTACGTATCATTATTTTGATATTAGACAATTTTAGTGTGCACCAAATACTTTCTATTTGCTTTGAGTCTTCGATTGTGGTGCAATCAAGATCATGCCTAGCAATTATGGCAACGCTTTTGATACCCCAATCCTTCCTAAATATTTTATATCCTGCAGGAACTATTTCGCCATTCACCACGAAATCATGCAACCATATCTCTACAATAACCATGATATCGGGGTCATGCTCAATTAAAATGTGTTCAAGTTCCTCAACTTTGTTAATGATACTTCTTGAACGTAAATTAATAATAACAATATTTCGTATGTATTTTGTGGCACTTTGTCATACCATTTCGCAACTTAGTGCCCCGAAATTATCTTTCTGGTATAAGTCTTACTTTATCATTTATGCTATCATCCCAGGCGTATGTAGCTCCATTTATTTTTATCTTATCAAATGCGAGGAAACACTTTTCACCATTTGCTCGGTTTGCGCTGCCATTTTCCCACAGCCTAATGTCTCTGACCTGTCCTGAATAGTCCTCATTTACGGGAATGTGTGTTCCTTGTATTTTTTTTTGTGTTACGAAGGATTGCAGTATTGTTGCCTGAGCTACCAAGTTATAGAAAAACAGGTTGTATCTTATCGGATAACAGGCTGCCTAGCCTCTTGATCTGCTGTACACTGCAGACATAAATCCCTAATTTTCCACTGACTACCTGGTCAATAACATGTGTAGTTAAGAAAGCCTGTGTTTCGCTCAAGGTTTCTTCAAAACTATATAAGGTTTTTACACTTTTCTTGGTTGGCCTTCAAAAACGCATCCAGTGACGAAATTTGATTTCGGGCTTTCTGCACTTCACCTGACAGACGCTTTAAATTCGCCACCGAAGACTGTATGGATTCTAGTCGTTGACCAAAACTGTTTTGGTTTATCATGATCTCAGCAACATCCCAGGCAATCTGTTTCTTACTTTCGAGCAGCTGTTGCATAATAATAGTGTCAGGCCCAGGATTGTGCTCGACACTGCCACTAAGATGTAACAATATTGCAATCACACTCCAACACTCGGAGATTATGTTACACAAGCTGCGTAGGCTCGGCAGCATTATCAAGGTCCTGCAATTGTGTTTAAAACACTTGTAGAAGTATATTCTACTAACCTGTACGTAGAACAGGAAGCAATATGACATCCCTGCTTCGATTGGGCCGCCGAGCCTACTAAAGCCGCAGCGTTTCCAGGGGCAGTTTGGAGAGCAGCCACGCCTCTGTCGCAGTAGCTGATCCTTGGTTTTCCGGCGCATACTTTCTTGTTCTGTTGTCGTCGATGACGGGAAACCCACTTTGCAGGTGCCAGGATTGCGTTTGATTATCAGGGACGTACTGCAGGTTGACAGCACATGACGCCGCAGCTACTGGTCTTGCATTCCCGCAGTCGACTTTGCTGGTGTAGAAAGACTGCCACAGCAGTATCTGTACATAGAACAGGAGGCGATTAGACATCCCTGCTTCGATCGTGCCGCCAAGCCCACTCTAGGTGGAGGCACGATACCATGTTTTACTTTATGAACCTAGTTAGTTACTATACGAACCTAATTCCTATATTCAAGGACAAAACATGACTGAAAGTTGACACAGAGTGCTCCTTCAGTACGACAATGCGCCTGGCCTCATGTCTTGCATTACAATGGTCCCCTAAATAAAGCTTTTGGGAATGATATCAACCCTATTTATTGTATCTGGCACCCCGTGACTACAGGCTGTTAAATTAAAAAAATGACACACCTGCATGGTAGATTTTTCATCTGTATATGGTTTAGGTAATAGAGGTTAGGTGCAGAGGTTCGACAAACTTTTTTTCCAGGAAGCAGCATAAATTCTATATGGCGAGCAACTGTTCTAAAATGTGTCTGATGCACATGAATGCAAAGAGGGGCCATATAAAGTGGACCATAGAGAATGCATAAAAAAGAGTGATGACGACCCAGCCAAGCTGGCCCCATCATTGGCTGCGGTTGCACGTACGAATGCACGAGGTCTGCAAGGAGCAGACCAAGGGGGTTATATTAAGACTTCTGGAGTGGAGGTACTTGGGAAAAAAAATGGGTAGACGCTGTGTGAGGCATGGGAATTTTGCCTTCAATTAGTTTTATCTGCGGCGTTTCATTCAAGGCAAGTCTTTATGAAACAACTGCAGCCGTTCCCAAAGGCGATATTTGGCTTTTGTGGCGCTTTTGGTTGCGTAAATAGCCTTAAAAAGCCAGGAATTACTTTTCATCTGTAAGATACGCAGCAAGCACACGGCAACAAATCTCGCAGTATCTAAGCTGGCTTACGCGAGAGGAAGCTTGCCAATTATGTGCCTTTGCATTGCAACCGCAAAATAGAGACTTAAATATGTTTGCATGTTGCAGGTTTCCCCGAAGACAACACTCAGCATGCTGTGTGAGAGCAGCTGGGCGTGGTGGGGGGGGGGGGGGGTTGGCTCTGTGTTTCATGTACTAGGAAAATGACTGCTTTAAAAGAGGCGGTGAAATGAGATTTCAATCGGGTAGCATTCCAATTGCGTTTCCTGTATTTCCAGCATAGCTGCGGAAGGCACTGAGTATTGTAGCAACAGTGAACACTTATTTTCTATTACAGTTTTATCTAAAACTCTAAATGGTTCTTTTATAAGAGCTGTGCATCAGGAAAAGAAGTACTACAAACAACTTTATTTTTCCGAACTTGATGTTTTCCCACTTTCTAAAAGTGCCTTTTTCGGTGAAAGTTCACGTGCAGGAATTTTCTTGATCGTGAGAGGTATGCTGTGTAATCATTGCCATGGGGTGTATTATTTGCGGAACCATTTCTTGCAACTCATCATTGTGAGAATAAAGGAATATTTTACATTAATTTGTGCTATGGTGTGTTCCACAGAATAAAGTAATTTCTGTTGTGTTGTGTTGCATTGCGTTTGCGTTTGCTGTTGCTGTTGCTCTTGTTGTTGTTGTTGTTGTTGTTGTTGTTGTTGTTGTTGTTGTTGTTGCTGTTGCTGTTGCTGTTGTTGTTTTAAATGCCATGAGCGGCATTATGCAGCAGACGACGCGGCAGAGTGTCCCGGAGGCAACAGATCCTAGCCGGAGTAATTTTGTACGCATTTTTATGGAGATGTACTTCCGTGTAATACGACAAATTACCACCCTTTCATAGGGTAGTTCCCTAGGCCGTGCGCCGCCAGCAGTACGGCTGGCCCCTTAGCTACGATGACGCCGTTGCTATAGAGCCATATGACACGTAGCAGCTAATGGCGATTTAGGTGCCGTTTTCCGCTACTACATACAACGCCGGCTTCCTTGCATTGGACCCATTTAATACTTTCGCATTAAAAAATCGTACGAACCGTCAGGTCGAAAATCATCTTGAATTGCGGCATTCTCGATCCCAAAATTATTTTACAATATAATTGTTACCTTTCTTTTAACATGAATGTGGGAATTAGGTGAAGGTTCTGTAGGTTGACAATACTTTCCATTTATAATGCAGCGAACTTCTCATTTCGATATATTGCACGCCTTCGAACTAATGTCCCAGGAACCTCGAAATTCATTTCATATGTACCGAACTATCTCCGAGAGGTCATTATCCTCTAGTGCAGGGGACCCACGGCCCGCGGGGCAGTTTTATCCGGCCCCGGGCACGACCCCAGAAAAGCCCCCCTTCCCCCTCCCTTTGCAGCTTACTCACAGACCCAAGCAGCACTCGGAAAAGCAAGCACCACAAAAGGCAGGAAAATGGAACGCTACCACGTAGCATTGTCCGGCATCCCCATACTGGGGCAGAGAACGCCTTCTTTTTTGCCTTTTTTTTGTCCCCCGTCTTTCCGACTTGCCGTCCGGCCCCCTCCGTGTCAACTTCGTGACGACTCGGCCCGCCGCTGCCAAAGGTTGCCGACCACTGCTCTAGTGTATCTCGCTACCATTTTTTTGCGGTTACTTCAAGTCGCAAGATGTCACATATGAATGAAATTGGCTTCTTTTATGTGTTTATGTGAAGTAGAGAACTTTTTTCTTGCCCAAGTAAATGGGGCTGGCAGAGTAATGTGCATATAGAAAGCCTGTACTCACAGCTCTTTTAACATTTTCATTTTACAAAAATGTTCCTCCAACTGAAGCACACTGGAAGACATTTTGACCGGAAAAATTTTGATGTACAGCCATAGACAACTGAACATGGGGTCATTAAAATGAACAGGATCTATAGTCTGGACTATAGTCCAGAAAATACGGTAATATAGTCGTCATAGTAAAGAAAGACACTTCCCCAGAGGCGTAAGGCGTGAGAAACCTTAGAACATCGTCCACAATTTTTTGATTGCTATTCCATCGTCCGAATACAGAGATGCAGTACATCGGCAAGCCAATGTCTCTGATCTCATTTGGCTTTAACTAGTGGTTTTTTTTTTGTTTTGTTTTTTTGCTGATTAGCATTTTGTGAAATTTCGAACCAGTTGTTGCAAGCCGGCCGCTTCTCTGCCGGTTTGCCAGAACAGCTTAGACTCTGTCAAAGAAAGCACTGTAAATGGTAGGGCCCGCGAGCGTCTTGAGACGCGAGAAGAGTCCCTCTTAGCTCATCCGCTGGCTTTGACAGTGCTTTCTTTCCCCCAGTCTCAGCTGAGACGCTGTTCCTAGCAAGTCGCCCCCAGGCGGCCCCAAGGGACATGGCGCCGCCTGAGACATCTGCTGCGCCTGTAACCTCGGCCTTAGCGAACCGTGTCCCTCTACGTGAGCGCACCGCATATCAGCTAAGGTTGCCGAAGGACGACAATTATGCTTTGGATTCACAACTCATAAAAAATGCTTAAAACATTAAAAACATTTTTTTTTCAAGAAATTGTAGATGACGATTCCAAGGCTGCTCCTCTATCAAGCGACGAACCGTGGTAAGTGAGGTTAATTTTTTTCGTTTATTTTTGTTTATTTCTCCATGATAAATGAGTAACAAAAGCTTTAACTGCGCAATTTTTCTCTGAACAGTTAAGGGTTCAAGTCCACAAATATTTATTATTTCTGTCAGAGAGGCAGTTCATCTGTAACTGGAAGTTATAAAAAGCACTGCCTTATTCCGTATTTTCTGTAGCCTGCTTATGTCGGTTTTGGTTGCGGGGTCGTACTAGACTTTTGTATGTTGTAGGTCTTTATGTTCTTGCTACTTTTAAGTTTACGTTTGAGTAAGGATAATTTGCAAAATGCAGCTGCGCAGATATTTAGAATATGTCTTTTTGCGATGTAAAATTGTGACTTATTGTCACCCCTATGTAGTTGAAATTTTCTGTTCATGACAGTTCTACATTTGCAATGTGATAGTGAAACAGAGATACATCCCTCTCATTAGTTATGTTGGTATATGATGATCTTTTTAAGTTAATTTCCATTTGCCATTGGAAGCACCATTGCTTAATATAGTCGAAACTGTCATTTAATGCTGCCTAGTCTTCGGATGTCTTAATTGGCAAATAAACCAAACAATCATCCCTAAATTTATTTGTACTGGTGGTTTAATTACCATTGATATATCATTGATATATAAAATAAACAGCAATGCCACAAACAGCAATACTGCTGCTTGTGGCACCTCTGAAGTTAGCTATATTAAGTCTGAAAGTGCTCCTTGAACTTCAACCGCCAGCGATCTATTTCCTGAACAAGCCTCAATTCAACTTATAATATTTTAGTTTAGTGCAAACATCTTAAGTTTTGTTAGTAAATTGTTATGCGTAGCACGATGAAATGCTTTTGCAAAATCTATGCTCATGACATAAATTTGTAGTCTCGAATTCATTGCAGAAGTAACATCGTGAAAATGTTTTACAAGTTCTGTCCTTGTTGACAAACCTGCCCTGAAGCCTTTTTTTTTTAAATAAAGGAAAGCATTGTTTTTCAGGAATTTAATTTTATGTTTTGCAACTACATGCTCCATCACTTTGCAGCATATCCTAATGGCACTGGACGTTAATTATTTATTTGTAGACGACAACATTTTTTAAATATTGGCACCATTTTAGCCCTTAACGAATCAGGAGGAAGAATACTTGTTTCTAGAGACTTCTTCAAAAAAAATATTCCAGGTAGAATCACAACCATTCAGCGTATCTTCCGATAAATTCTCCGGGGATGTTATGTGGTCGTTGAGCCCTTTTTTATCAAGATGCAATATC